AAAAAAAAAAAAAAAGGATGAAGACTCTAGAGGCAATAAAAGGAGACAATGAAGTTCAGTGACCAAAGTAATGAATCTTTAAAATCAAGGATGAGGTTATGCAAGAAAAGCTGTTGGCAAGAACATTTTAAGAACAAACTTTTCCAACAGTTTTCTAGTCAGGACATAAACATGTCTCTGAATATTCTCTATTAATTGCCCTACATGTAAAAATGTGTAAGAAAATGACCTGGGTGATATAATCAGATCTCCTAAAACACCTTCAATGATTCAAAGACTGGAATCACTCTTTAAATCATCACGAAAAATCTCAAATAAACTTGCAAAACATTTGCGAAATCCTCAAGTCACAATCCTGTCATTCCACAGTGAGACAAGATCTGCGGCCACAGGGACAGGGTCTTAGGGTGAAATATGCCCTTTCTGAGATGAGAGACATCACACAGCCTTAAGTGAGGAAAGATTGCAAGCAATCTCATCGTCTCACTGACCTACAAACACTTCTCCAAAGCAAGCCAGGAGAGGAAAAATAACTCAGGTCCTTGAACTCAGATTTTAAATGTCCTACACTTAATCCTAAAAGTTGGGGGTCCATCCTCTTCCTAGCAACAGGCAATTGAGATGACATCTAACCCCCCCTCCTTCTACAAGTGTGGACGCCACCCGTTAGGACCGCCCCTCCCAGTCAGTCACCCACCTTCCCCCAAAGCTGTGCGCCTTTCCAAGAGAAACCGACCCAAGACGAGTCCCTAGAGACCCTCCGGGCGCCAGCTACCCCGGGCAGCCTTCCCACTAAAGTAGTCCTGAGGGAGAGGCTGATGGGTCTCACCAAGTACAGTGGGGCATAGATCTTCAGGGACTCCTCCAGGGCGTCCCAAGTGATCTGCAGGAAGGAGACCAGGCAGGAAGGGTTCCAAGTGTGGCCGATCTCGTAGCAGCTATGAGGGATGGACTTGCTGAGGGCCGCCATGACGAGAAGCACGGAGGGGCCGGGAGGGGGACGGCCGGGGCTCGGGAAGGAGCGACACCGGCGGCCAACCGC